GGGCCATGCACCACAGCTCTTCTCCTTTCGAACTCAGCCGAATAAGAGAGGGCAGGCCTGCTGGGCTCGAAGCTAAAGGGCTTCGCAACATATTCATATAACCTTAGTTACATTAGGTAACTGGGGTTTCTATTTCATATGTTGCTTCGCCCTTTAGGCTTCGCTAATGCATAACATAGCGAAGCCCAGACCGATGTACTCCCAGCAGGCATGAACTCCGGTGATTGGAGCAAACTCGTGACCCACGTGCTCATACCGCAACCAAGCGGTAGAGACGGAGGTCCTACGAGCCATAGAGAAAGGGATGCTGGGCCACCTCTCCCAAGAGTGCCCACGCATTCTCCAACCTGCAAAGCAGGAAAGAAATCAGAACAAACCTGGGCAGGCAGCCTCTCCCAAGAGCGCCTGATCCCCAGGAGTGTAAAGAAGACTGCAGAAGGGCCTAGGCCGCCTCTCCCAAGAGCGCCTATCCTTACTGCAGAGGTGTCCAGGCCGCTTCTCCCAAGAGCGCCAACACCTCTCCACACAACCCCCCCCCCTGCAGACCAGTTCTCACCGAGGTCTGTCGAAGGAGGAACTAGGGCCGCCCTGCACTCAAAACCGAATGAGCCACAGAGTCAGAGGCCACCTCCAGTAGGTAAAACTGCACAAAAGTTGAGGAGGAGGACCAAGACGCCGCTCTGCAGATCTCCTCCACCGAAGTGCCATGTCCATCATGCCCTCCCGATCGGGGAGGGACAAACAAGACGGCTGCACGGAAAAGGCGCACAGATCCCCAGACCTCTTCACCGAAGCCCACGCCCACAACAATGCCGTTTTGTAGGACAATCAGGCAATGGTCGCATTTTCCAGGGGTTCAAATGGAGGCCCTGAAAGGCCAGCCAAGACCACCTGAAGGTCCCAAGACGGAGCCGACCGCCGGAGGGGAGGCCTGATCCTGCGGGCCCCTCGTAGGAACCGCGCAGAGTGGCTAACAAACCCCACGTGCCCAGTGGTAATGGCCGCCGCGAACACACCCAGAGTGGCGGCCGCCCTTCCATTTCTCCAGCAAGAACTGGAGAAAAGCCAAGACCTCCTGGATGGAGCACTAGGTGGGGTCCAACATCTGTCCACGCACCAAGAGGCGAAGAGTTTCCAGCGAACCTCATACGCTTTGGTGGTGGATGTAGCCCTCCCACCCTGAATAGTAGCGACCACTGAGGGAGGGAGACCAAGGCTCAACATGAGCCGGCTTCCCAGGACAGGGCGTGAGTAAAGGGCTCCCCCTGCCTGTCTCAGAGCATCAGGACGGTCCGGAACGGGCCAAGGCGGACTGAGCGCCATGCTCACCAGGTCCGGATAGCACCTGGCTCCCGGGCTGTCCGGCGCCACCACCAGGATGGAGACCCCTCCGTCCTCACCCTGTAAAGCAGGGCTGCCAAGAGCCGGCGAGGCGGGAAGGCGTAGAGGAGACCGTTGGGCCACGACCGGTGCGGCCAACGGGAGGGGGCTCGTTGCTGGACCTGAGCGAGAACCAGAGTGGGCACTGTGTGTTCTCTGCATTTGGGAAAAAGGTCGGCCACCGGTGTCCCGAACCGGAGCCAGACCTCTGCCACGGCCGCTGGGGTGAGACCCCACTCGTCCCGCAAAGGCCCCGCCCCTGGACATCCTGTCGGCGGCCACGTTACGCTCGCCTGGGATGTGACGGGCCCTCAGAGAGGCTAGGTGAATGTCCGCCCACAGAAGAACCTCCACTGCCAGCCTGTGAAGGGCGGGGGACCTGGTCCCCCCATGCCTGTTCAGGTATGCTGCCACAGTGGTGTTCCGTCCGAACAATCACCTGTTGGCCCTCCAGTCTGGTCATGAAATGGGCCAGCACCAACCGCATCGCCTCCAACTCCAGGAGGTTGATGTGCCCCAAGGGGGAGGACCAAACGCCTCCTGTCGAGTGGGGCCGAGCACGCCTCCCCAACCACTCAGTGAGGCGTCCGTAAAGACCTCGATGTGGTGGTCCACAACACCCATTCAAACTCCCTCCTGGAGTCGACCTGGGGACAGCCAGAAGGCGACGTCGTTCTGAGCCGTTCTCCGGGCTGCCTAGCCCTGTCTGGAGAATGCCGCAGAAAGGAGGGGGCCGCCAGGAGAACTGGAGAGCATAGCCCCGACTCAGCACTCTGTGTATCCACAGAGTTCGCCGGAGCCCTGACTGTTCCGATACGGTGACAACATGGGTCAAGGGAAGCACAGCAAGATGGGAGGAGGGAGAAAGGCCTGGTCCGCCCACAGATGTCCCATCCTGGGGAGGCATCGGATAGTGGGGGGCCCGTGGGAAAAAGGCCTGAGCCCTAGCTACGGCCCTGGGCCTTTCTCTGTGTGGCCGCGTGAGGGCAGGTGTGCTGCACTTACGTGGAGCCGAGCCCCTGCTCCCCAACACTGTGGACTAAGAGGGGGCCGAGCAGTCCCGCTTATTGCAGTGGGGGGCCCCTTGAAAGAGGGCTGGGCCCTAGCTGCGTTCCTGGGCCTTTTCCCGGGTGGCCGCGTGACGGCGGGTGTTCTGCGCTTACGTGGAGCCGAGCCCCTGCTCCCCAACACTGTGGACAAAGAGGGGGCCGAGCAGCCCCGCTTATTGCAGTGGGAGACCCCTGGGAAGAGGGCTGGGCCCTAGCTGCGGCCCTAGGCCCTTTTCCGGGTGGCTGCGTGAGGGCAGGTGTGCTGCGTTTACGTGGAGCCGGGCCTCCGCTCCCCAACACTGTGGACTGAGAGGGGGCCGAGCAGTCCCACTTATTACAGTGGGGGGCCCCTGGGAAGAGGGCTTGGCCCTAGCTGCGGCCCTGGGCCTTTTTCCAGGTGGCCGCGTGAGGGCAGGTGTGTTGCGCTTACGTGAAGCCGAGCCCCCGCTCCACAACACTGTGGACTGAGAGGGGGCCGAGCAGTCCCACTTTTTGCAATGGGGGGGTCCTGGGAAGAGGGCTGGGCCCTAGCTGCGACCCAGGGCCCTTCTCCGGGTGGCCGCGTGGAGCCGAGCCCCCGCTCCCCAACACTGTGGACTGATAGGGGTCCGAGCAGTCCCACTTTTTGCAGTGGGGGGCCCCTGGGAAGAGGGCTGGGCCCTAGCTGCGGCCCTGGGCCCTTTTTCCGGGTGGCCACGTGAGGGCAGGTGTGCTGCGCTTAAGTGGAGCCGAGCCCCCGCTCCCCAACACTGTGGACTGAGGATAGTGGCTTTGCTCTGGATAGTGGGGGGCCGCTGGAAAAAGGTCTGAGCCCTAGCTGCGGCCCTGGCTTTTACCGGGTGCAGCCGCGCACTCTCTGCCCAAGAGAGGCAAAGGCACGGGGAGCGCACAGCGGTCCCGGAGCATGCCTCCAGCGCGCGCACGAGAGGCGCGCTGAGAGAGGCTCCAGGCACTTGGCAGATGAGCAGCGTTGGCCAAGCGCTGAGGATAAGGAAAAGGGGAAAGAAGTGTTCTCTTTGAGGGAGTAACAGGCCTGATGACGGCCTTTATTAAAGAGTTTCCCTCCCCTCCTTGCAGCTGCAAAGCCGGGGTGGCTGCTGCTCCTCTGCTTGTCACGCGCTTGCTGTCTCCTCTTGGTTCTGAGCGGTGCGGGGTGGCAGAGCGGTCCCTGTCCGAGGGATGCAGCGAGGAGAGTAATGTTATAAGCCATAGCAACGACCTATGATGCACAAGCCTAACACCTGTCAAGCATGGACACGGCCGGCTTGCCCCGCTCGGGGGGGGTGCCAGCCCAGACCCCGGAGGAAGCTGGTGTACAGGCGTACTCCATCCTCTATGGGAGGAAAACCTGACCGCCAAGGCCAGGCCTCCGCACCCGCGTATACTCCATACGCTAGCGCCGGGGAATGGGCTGTCATGGGCCTATCCCCTCGCGACTGATATAGTGAAGCAGAGGCACACCCTGAGCGAGCCACCATGGGCACCGAGAGTGATGTTATTAAGCAACCATCTGTGGCGCAGTAGTATTACGCCTGTCCAGCGTGAGCAGAACGTAGCACACCTTGAGTGAGCCACCATGGGCACCACTCCAGGGATGAAGCGAGCAAAGTGATGTGTTAAGCTAGAACAACCATCTGTGGTGTATTAGCTATACGTCTGTTCAGCGTGGATAGAGGGTAGCACACCATGAGCGATGCCACCAAGGGCACCACTCTATACGGCATAAATAATCCACGGCGAGACAAGCCACACATCTGGGGCTTTCTCCCGCGGCACGACGCCAGCCCAGGCAGAAGACGCTGGACTCGTGGCGGTCAGTCTGGGAGAGTGCCGCTGGGCACAAGTCGCAGATCCGCAGCCTGACACCGGAGGGTGGCAAGTTCTCAGGCGCGGGGATCTTGCTTGAAGACATCCTAGCAAATGAATCGAAGCTTCTCTTAGGCAAGCTGAGAGAGAAAGGAGAAGAGCTGTGGTGCATGGCCCTATTTATAGGGGACTGGCCTACGCCAGGACGTGAAGGTGATTGGAGGGTGGATCGTTTGATCTTCTCAGGGCGGGAAGCGATGCTTCCGAGAGATATGCATTAGCGAAGCCTAAAGGGCGAAGCAACATATGAAATAGAATCAGGACTTTACAGCCCCAGTCCTGGATATACAGCCCCAGTCCTGGATCTACAGCCTCAGTCCTGGATCTACAGCCCCAGTCCTGGATCTACGGCCTGTTTGTCCGTGGGAGAGGACCCCTCTCTCAATTTGGGCCGTCCTGAGGTTTCTCCCTTTTTTCCCAGTGATTTTATTTTTCATGTTGTTCCTCGCTGATGCAGGAGGGTCTAAAGACAGTGATGGTCCAGGACATTTAAGGACATTTCTGGACAGTGCTTGTCCTGCTCCCGATGGACAATGTTTTTTTATTACTGCATTTCCTGTGTTTGAACTGTCGCAGATCAGAGAATCAATCTCTGATCTGTTGTTGGCGAATCGACAGCTTTGAAAAGTCTGAGATGCTGTTGTGATTTAGGGTTATAGACAAATACATTGAATTGAATTGAAAAGAAAAGCCGCAGACACTGACCATGTCTTTGAAGGCGTTCTCGATGGCGCCGATGACGAGACTCTGGTGTGAGACCTTCTTCTCGCTGAAGAACCGAGCAGTAGCGGCGTGTGGCGTTCCCGGGGCCCCCGCGGCTCCCCGCAGAGACACTGCCCTGTTCAGTCCCTTCTGCTGGGGACCGTGGCTCACAGGCTCCTCCTCCAGGCAGGTGGGGGGTGTGGAGGGGGAGAGCAGGACGTCCATGACCTCTTGAAGGTGCAGAGCGATGTGATGGTGCAGCAGGTGCGACGCCATGACGGCTGCTCCGGCGCCGGCGTGACCGTCGAACAGAGCCCAGTAATGGAACGGCAGGTCGTCAGGAGAGGCCTCCTGCAGAGAGATACACACAGTTAGAGATACACACTGTTAGAGATACACACTGTTAGACACACACACACACTGTTAGAGATACACACACACTGTTAGAGATACACACAGTTAGAGATACCCACTGTTAGACACACACACACTGTTAGACACACACACACTGTTAGAGATACACACTGTTAGTGTGTGTTAGACACACACACACACACACACACTTATGTCCTAATGGACTCAGTCTGATCAAAGTGGGGCCTGGATCCTGCTCTGTGATGTCACACGTCACTGCCTTTGTGCCAAAGAACCTGCTCTGATCTGTTTCATTCACAAAACACACGTCTGATGTTTTGAGACCAGAGACCAGGACTGAGACCAGGACTGAGACCAGGACTGAGACCAGGACAGAGACCGGGACAGAGACCAGGAGAGAGACCAGGACAGAGACCAGGACAGAGATCAGGACAGAGACCAGGACAAAGACCAGGACCGAGACCAGGACAGACCAGGACTGAGACCATAATTCCACCAGAGAACACAGGTTTCTTTGTCTCCTCCTTCTCCATTGTTCCTTCCGTGTGATAAATCCGATTGACCTTTGACCTTTCCTCCTTCGGTCACTTCCTGCTTCATTAATGAACATGACTTTATATAAAAACAGTGAGAAAAGCAGTAGATCTGTTCTGTTTTGTTCTGAACGCGACAGAGCAGTGTGTTTTATGGCTCTGAGCAGCAGTGAGTCAGGAGCATCCGTCAGCTCTGCAACAAACTAAAATAAAAAACACTAAAATACATTTTCTCCGGCGCCGACGGTACACACAGAATCCATATGGTGCCGAGAAATATCACTGTACCTGGTTCGATGTGTGTGCTGTTGATGACCCACAATGCACCCTGCACTCCTCTACCAAGTGTGCATTTGTCTGAGTGGCAGGTTACAAGCAAAAAACACAGAGTTGGGACAGTGCAGGTTTTCGTCATCGACTCGTCCACAGATGGTCATTTTCAGACCTAAACTTTATAAAAATTAAAGGTCATTTTGTCTGACCCTTTGGGAAACAAAATTAGTTGCTTCACACACGTTAAAATAAATGTATATTGGTTATTCGTAATTTGAGACAGCTGTATAATTGTAAGTTAAATGTGGGTAACTAACTGTTTTCTGGTAAGTTTTTATACTTTTATACATCCTGAGTTTATTGTACTGAGTGTAAAGTTTAAATTGAATGTTATATGAACGCTTGCTTTAAAAAAGTTGTCCGTAATTCTTCATCAGACATTTATGCTTCTTTCCAAGTAACAGCAAAACTTATTTACACACAAACAGCAGATATATTTCACTTCAATTCATTTTCCGGACGTTTTGGTGTGTACCGCAAAGAATTATGGGCAATATCCTTCGCCAGAGTCCGCTGAGATGCAGGCTACGACGAAGTGTGGATCAAGGGTGCAAAGGGGGCGGGGCCAAAGACCTCCCTGGAGAATCGGGACTGTACCCTACGCTCTCGCACCCATCATCGTGTGGGGCGCCAGGTTGGAAGTGCGAGTATCAGGACTGGGCCTATCAACTCTCATCAACATTTATGGACTTGTGTTTGATTCTCTGATCTGTGCGGGGGAATCGACAACTGTGTAGAGTCTGCTGTGATTTAGGGCGATACAAAAATGCGTAGAATTTAATTGACAAATGTTCTTATTCAGGATAAAAATACTTCAAATTATTTTTTAGAGATTGTGACTATTTGAGATTTTATTATTTATTTTATTAGTGTTATTAGTAGAGATTTTATTTTATTCTGTTTTAATTTAGCTCAGAGTTATTGATGAGTTTATTGTTATTGTTTACTGCAGTCTAGAGTTATTGTAACCTGTGCTGCAACACTGACATTTCCTCACTGTGGGACAAATAAACTGTATCTGGTAATGTTTGCATGTTCTCTCTGTGTCTGCGTAGGTTTCCTCCAGGTGCTGCAGTTTCCCCTACACACTAAAAACACCGTGTTTTGTTTTGCCACAGAATTCTGAAACTACCAGAACTCTCAGAGCCGTCATTTTGACTGCTCTCACTCAAACCAATGGATTCTGAGAAATGTCCAAAAATACATGAAGGTTTTTTACATTTACTGTACTCGCTGAACCTGATGACTATAACTTGAAATACAGCATGTACAGTGTGTTGTCATGGTAACCATAAGATGATTTCATAACGATAACAAAACAACATAATTCATCAAAGCACCATAAAAAACTATTCCATATTAATGTAAAGATAGTTTTAACATCTGTTTGTGCAAAGATACAGTATATGAAGTATGTACGTTAATATTGTATATACAGTATATGAAGTATGTACGTTAATATTGTATATACAGTATATGAAGTATGTACGTTAATATTGTATATACAGTATATGAAGTATGTACGTTAATATTGTATATACAGTATATTAAGTATGTACGTTAATATTGTATATACAGTATATGAAGTATGTACGTTAATATTGTATACACAGTATATGAAGTATGTATCGCTTATACAGTAGATACAGTATATGCAGTATATACACAGTATAAGCAGTATATACACAGTATAAGCAGTATATACAGTATGTACACATCATTTCTGTGCGTCTGGAGACATTAGTAGAAAGTCTGTGAAGTGTTGAGCCCAAAGAAGCAGGTGCAAAATACTGCAGTTTCATTTTGCTGAAAGATAAAAACAAATCCACAGAAAACACTCCAGAGACAGAACACTTTATATTCAACTGAGCTGGAATCACTAATGTTTATTTATGGTTGTTTCTCAACTGGAACAGATTCTCTCATTTGTAGTAATAGTAGTAGTAGTAGTAGTAGTAGTAGTAGTAGTAGCAGTAGCAGTAGCAGTAGTAATGCCATAATGACAATTGATAGTGGTAGAACAAATAGTATAAGCAGCTAAACTAACTCCAGAGCTCACGTTTCCTGATGGTGTGCAGTATATAAAGTATTTGCAGTATTTGCAGTATTTGCAGTACATGTCGTATATAAACAAAATGCAGTAGTTGCAGTATTTCTTGTGGAAAAGGCATTTCTGTTAGAGCAGCAGTGAGGCTCGGACACAAGCAGCAGACGTGTGTGAAATCTGGGACTGAAAACAGAGGACCACAGTGACCTCCACAGAGAAAGAGAGAGAGAGAGAGAGAGAGAGAGAGAGAGAGAGAGAGAGAGAGAGAGATAGAGGGAGAGAGAGAGAGAGAGAGAGAGAGAGAGAGAATCCAAGGACTCACTTCAACACATTATGTAAGACGAGAGAGATAAAGAGAGGGAGAGAGAGAGAGAAAGACAGAGCATAAGAGAGAGAGAGGGAGATGGCCAGAGGGAGAGAGATAGAGATCCAGAGAGAGGAAGAGAGAGAGAGGGAGAGCAAGAGAGAGTGAGAGGGAGATAGCCAGAGAAAAAGAGAGCCAGAGAGAGAGGGAGATAGCCAGAGAGGGAGAGAGAGAGAAAGAGGGGGAGATAGCGAGAGAGAGAGAGGGAGAGAGACAGAGACAGAGAGAGAGAGAGATAGCCAGAGAGGGAGAGAGAGAGGGAGAGAGAGAGAGACAGAGACAGAATCCAAGGACTCACTTCAACACATTATGTAAGACGAGAGAGATAAAGAGAGGGAGAGAGAGAGAGAGAAAGACAGAGCATGAGAGAGAGAGAGGGGGATGGCCAGAGAGTGAGAGGGAGATAGCCAGAGGGAGAGAGAGAGAGCCAGAGAGAGGGAGAGAGAGGGAGAGCACGAGTGAGTGAGAGGGAGATAGCCAGAGAGAAAAAGAGAGAGAGAGAGAGAGACCAGAGAGAGAGAGAGAGAGAGACTTGAACACATGATGTAAGCCTTGGACTGAGGCTGGAGCAGAATCCTACAGATCACTGATGATTCTTGTTGGAGACGTTCAAACTTTCATTCAAAGAGAGGTCCTAATGAGGAACACAACCCAACTCTGTGGCGCCACCTGCAGGGGGGAAGCCAGAGCGCGTCAAATCTCAGAAGCTAAGCAGGAGAAGGCTTGGCTAGGGCTGTGATGGGAGATCCTCTGAGAACACCGGGTGAGATGGATGTGGGCCGATGGGAATGACATCCAACCCACATTAAAGTGTGTATGTGTGTGTGTGTGTGTGTGTGTGTGTGTGCGTATTTGCGTTGTGACGGCAGAAATGACTAAAGCATGTTATGATTGATTTTAATGGTTAATAAATGATTTAGGAGTGTTTGTTTGAATGACATCATGGTGGTGATGCAGATCTCTGAAGTGTTTTCCTTCTCATGTAGATGCAGTGAGCTGGGACGGGGACTTCCTGCATCCTCTGCCCCTCTATCTTCAACCCCCCTTAACCCCCTCTTTCTGCCCACACCCACTCCTTGTAGGTGCTTATCAATAGTAAGGCCCCATTTAGATGGAGACACTGCGGAGAAATTTGCAAAAACGACCAGGCTCAGTAATCAAAGTGCCCAGTGTCTACACAACGACGGGAAACAAAACAGTTCTAGCGCCTGGCCAGTAGGGGGCAGTGGGACATTACAACACGACATACTGTACACAACCCCCAGCAGTAGAAACACTTCCTCAACAACATCCTCTTCAGGCCGCCGCAATGACGGGAAAGACCCAACATCATTCTGCATTAAACAGCAGCAGAAAAAAAATGGAAACTGAAACTACAGCTGTGGATTGGTTTGGAAGAAGGAGTAGAATCTTCCTCCGTGAAACGATAGAAGCACACGTTAGCATTAGTCGATCCGCCGCCATTGTTGTTTCCAATTGTTCTCGGCTTCTGCGCATGTCCAAATGTACGTGGGGAAAGTGCTGAGGTCATAGCAGCAGAGAATTCGGGCGTTCTGCTCTCCCAAAATTTCATCCACTGAGCGGCGCTGTGATCAAAAAATGACACAGTTTGTTGCCCAGTTCACTTCCGGTGGATTTTGTACAATGGCGAATATGGCTCACGAAAACAACAAACGATTGACAGTGCCTGAATTGCGTGAAAGGTTGAAGCGAAAGGGTATTTGCAGTGTGGGAAAACGAAAGGAGGAATTGTTGTTGCTAGTTCAACGAGCGGATGGTGTTTATGAAGATTTAGAAGAAGATGACAGCGAGCAGAGTGAACGAAAACGGCTGTGTGTGCGAGTGACAGATGGTAACAATGAGAATGAAGTTCAGCTAAGAGGGAAGAATGTGAATTGGACGGATGATTTGCGCGATATGCCACTAGTTAGAGACGGGAATGTATTTGCATACAGAAAATGACGAAAACACTCAACCATTTAGAGAAAATGCGCCGGGCAGAGAGAACCGGAAGTTGCGAAGGCAAGTGTTACCCATAATGCAACGCAAAATTCAGTCGCTCCCCCGCCCATCGGATGGAATTTTGGGAGAGCAGAACGCCCGAATTGCGTCTCTGTTCTGTTCCACTCTGAAGGCTCTTTCTCAACGCTTGCATTTTCACCTGAAGCACCGTCTCTGTGTAAACAAAAGGCCAAACCTGAGAGCCAGCTCCATCGTTTCACTGTCGCAGTGTCTCTGAAAACAGCCTCTCAGTCAGTGATCTCTGAAGTGGCAGTTTTCCCTTCTTAAGAACCAGCTGCACAAAAGAGACTATATTTTTAACTTTTAATATGTCGCACACTTCTGTCTTTTTGTACAATCTGAGTGATTCTATCTGTGCCAAATGTGACGTGTACATTTCTCCAGAGTGAGATCTTAAAGTTTATCTTATCTTCTCACGTGGATGTAGTGACCTGGGATGGGGCCTTCCTGCTTCCTCTGCCCCTCTACCTTCACCCCCTTTAACCCCCTCTCCCCACTCCCTGTAGCTGCTTATCAATACTGAGGAGTGACTATGGTCTGGGGGGAGCCGGGCCGCACTGTCTGTTTTTATTGTGTACTTTCTACTTTAACTATAACACACAAATACAACTTTGTTCCCATGGATCAGAAGAATATTTCCACAACAGTGTGAGTGTGAGAAGGACTCTGAGCCGAACCGACTGCTCTAATTGGCTGATTGATTCGTCACAGGGAATGTACACAGTAGGCGTTAACAGAGCGTATGCGTCGACTGCACGCATCTGCGCGTAACATTATTTGGGAGTATCTACACTGGCCGTGCGCAGGTCCTTCTGATGCTGTCCCTGTGCAGTCTGTGGAGCAGTGCAGAGGACAGTACAGAGACTGATGTAGAGCAACACAAACCACATGTGTTTGTCTTCATGGTCTCTGTGCGCTAGTTTGGCCAGACGCCAGACTTTATGAAAGAAAAAACTATGTCTAGAATCACTGTAAAACCTGCTGCTCCTCCTGCTGATGTTTAGATAAGAGTGTGTGTGTGTGTGTGTGTGTGTGTGTGTGTGTGTGTGTGCAGATGTGATCTAGAGCCAAGGGCCGCAAGAAAAATCATGTTTCACATGTGTTTTCAATGGAGACGCGTTGCTGTGTGTACAAAATTAGAAATCCATCCTAAATTCGGCGCAGCCTCGCGTCATACGTCCGTCATACGTCCGTCATACGTCCGTCATACGTCCGTCATACGTCCGTCATACGTCCGTCATACGTCCGTCATATGTCCGTCATACGTCCGTCATATGTCCGTCATACGTCCCTCATACGTCCGTCATACGTCCGTCATACGTCCGTCATACGTCCGTCATACGTCCGTCATACGTCCCTCATACGTCCCTCATACGTCCCTCATACGTCCGTCATACGTCCGTCATACGTCCGTCATACGTCCGTCATACGTCCGTCATACGTCCGTCATACGTCCGTCATACGTCCGTCATACGTCCGTCATACGTCCGTCATACGTCCCTCATACGTCCGTCACACGTCCGTCATATGTCCGTCATACGTCCGTCATACGTCCGTCATACGTCCGTCATACGTCCGTCATACGTCCGTCATACGTCCCTCATACGTCCGTCATACGCCCGTCATACGTCCGTCATACGTCCCTCATACGTCCGTCATACGTCCGTCATACGTCCGTCATACGTCCGTCATACGTCCGTCATACGTCCGTCATACGTCCGTCATACGTCCCTCATACGTCCGTCATACGCCCGTCATACGTCCCTCATACGTCCCTCATACGTCCGTCATACGTCCGTCATACGTCCGTCATACGTCCGTCATACGTCCGTCATACGTCCGTCATACGTCCGTCATACGTTCCTCATACGTCCGTCATACGTCCGTCATACGTCCGTCATACGTCCCTCATACGTCCCTCATACGTCCGTCATACGTCCGTCACACGTCCGTCATACGTCCGTCATACGTCCGTCATACGTCCGTCACACGTCCGTCATACGTCCATCATACACACGTATAACACTAGTGTAAATATCCTCATGGGTTCACATGGAGAAATGTTACACGCGTCTGCTGCGTGTATAACGAGTACGTGCTGTGACGCCTCCTGTAGCGATGGACACCAGCAGAACAGACTGGTCTGAAAGGACACATGGTCCCTGCTGGTCCCTGCCTGTCCCCATGGTACTGACCGTGTGGTCGTTGGGGCTGAGGTCTCCGTTGGGCAGAGACGACCTCCTCCTCTGAGTGGGAGAGCGGCTCCTCCTCTTCACCCTCAGCACCTCGCAGCTCGCCTGGTCCTCGTTCAGAGCACTCTTCCCCGCGTTGATCACCCTGAGGACACACAACAGGTTAGAGGACACACAACACAGGTTAAAGACCACACAACAGGTTAGAGGACACACAACAGGTTAAAGGACACACAACAGGTTAAAGAACACACAACAGGTTACAGAACACAGACTCAGAGCGGCAGCAGTGCAGGCGACACACACTTTACGCACATGTGCTTTAGACAAATGTAAACAGTTTGGTTGTGGTTGCGGTGCAGAGAGAACAACAGTTGTTTTGTCTTAAACTGTGTCTAATCCCATCACTCTGAGCTGCATTCCTCTGCAAACGCACACTGCACAATGGTTCAGCAGTGGATACACACACTGCAACAAGTGACGACTCAAAAAATGCTGAAGTTTGACAAAATGTATCTGAATTTGAACACATTCTGACGGAGCCTTAAAACAACATTTGAGAATGGGGCGAAGCAAAATTACCACGTGAAGAATGTGACAAGTTCTGGGATCATCAGACATTTTTTTATTTACTATTTATCTTTTTTGTCCCCTTTTTTCCTGGTAATGCCACAAAATATCACAAAAATCCGGCAAATACAACAGTAATACATTCCAATGAAAAGAACAGGAGCAGGATGAAGAAAAGTGTAATTGTTGATGGTTAAGAATTTGATTTTATGTTGGCTCTGGCCTAGACTGTTGGAATGACGGGTTTAGGGTCAATTTCTTTCCAGGTCACCTCTGGTTCTATCACCCACAGTCTGAGGGAGACACAGGCGAGGATGAGGAGGTCACAGGCTGCAGAGACGGAGGAGGAGGGGGAGGAGGGGGAGGAGGGGGAGGCGAGCGTGACCTCCCCCTCAGGAGCAGAGCTGTCAGATAAAGTTTCTTCTTGGATTTCTGACAGTGATTTGGTCCTAATTGCCTCCTTCAGGAATGTGGGGTGACTGCTTTGAGGAGAGTAGAGGAGCAGCGAGGAGCAGAGAGGAGCAGAGAGGAGCAGAGAGGAGCAGAGAGGAGCAGAGAGGGGAAGAGAGGAGCAGAGAGGGGAAGAGAGGGGAAGAGAGGAGCAGAGAGGAGCAGAGAGGAGCAGAGAGGGGAAGAGAGGAGCAGAGAGGAGCAGAGAGGAGCAGAGAGGAGCAGAGAGGGGAAGAGAGGGGAAGAGAGGAGCAGAGAGGAGCAGAGAGGAGCAGAGAGGGGAAGAGAGGAGCAGAGAGGAGCAGAGAGGGGAAGAGAGGAGCAGAGAGGAGCAGAGAGGAGCAGAGAGGGGAAGAGAGGAGCAGAGAGGAGCAGAGAGGGGAAGAGAGGGGAAGAGAGGAGCAGAGAGGAGCAGAGAGGAGCAGAGAGGGGAAGAGAGGAGCAGAGAGGAGCAGAGAGGGGAAGAGAGGAGCAGAGAGGAGCAGAGAGGGGAAGAGAGGAGCAGAGAGGAGCAGAGAGGGGAAGAGAGGAGCAGAGAGGAGCAGAGAGGGGAAGAGAGGGGCAGAGAGGGGAAGAGAGGGGAAGAGAGGGGAAGAGAGGAGCAGAGAGGGGAAGAGAGGAGCAGAGAGAAGCAGAGAGGGGAAGAGAGGGGAAGAGAGGAGCAGAGAGGAGCAGAGAGGAGCAGAGAGGGGAAGAGAGGAGCAGAGAGGAGCAGAGAGGGGAAGAGAGGAGCAGAGAGGAGCAGAGAGGGGAAGAGAGGGGAAGAGAGGAGCAGAGAGGGGAAGAGAGGAGCAGAGAGAAGCAGAGAGGGGCAGTGAGGGGTAGTGAGGGGAAGAGAGGAGCAGAGAGGAGCAGAGACGAGCAGAGAGGGGAAGAGAGGGGAAGAGAGGGGAAGAGAGGAGCAGAGAGGAGCAGAGAGGAGCAGAGAGGGGAAGAGGGGAAGAGAGGAGCAGAGAGGAGCAGAGAGGAGCAGAGAGGAGCAGAGAGGAGTGAGGAGCAGCATGGACCATCAGAGAAGACCAGAGACAGAAGACTGAGATAAACGTATAAAACATGTGAGCTTCTTAAACACTAGAACTTCCAGAGCAGTCAAAGTCACTGCCTTTTCTTTAGTAAGCATAAAGTAGGTCATTTTTGGTCATCCTTATTCACATAGCATCTTCAACACTTTGTGACTTTATCGGTTGGTCCTGGACTGGTCCTGGACTGGTCCTGGACTGGTCCTGAGCAATACGAGTATGGAGAGCGCACTAGTTACACATTAGCCTTTCAACAAACTGATTTTCTGTCAGTTCTATTCACCAGCTTTAACACTTATTTAAACATTTAAAAAAACGTATAAATTGCTTATTTGTAATAAAAGTAGAGAAAAACTACAACTAAAATTCAAATAAAATCCATTACAGAAACTAGGTTCAAGACTGTGACATGGTCCAAACGAACAAGAGAGAGACGGATTCTCCCAAACAGACAGAGACCTAAAGCTCGGTCACGATGTCAAACTGAGACGTGTGTGAGCTCAGTACAGGACTGTTGGACCGTTGGACGGTTGGACCCTTGGACGGTTGGACCCTTGGACGGTTGGACGGTTGGACCCTTGGACGGTTGGACCCTTGGACGGTTGGACGGTTGGACCCTTGGACGGTTGGACTGTTGGACTGTTGGACCCTTGGACCCTTGGACCGGTGGACCGGAGGACCGGAGGACGGGAGGACGGGAGGACTGGAGGACTGTTGGACCGTTGGACCGTTGGACCGTTGGACCGTTGGACTGGAGGACTGGAGGACTGGAGGACTGTTGGACTGTTGGACCGTTGGACAGTTGGACTGGAGGAGTTTTACATAATCACTTCGAAGCCCCGCTCAGCTCTTCTGCCTCAGTGATTCTGTGTCGGTCAGAAAACCCAGAGAAAGAGGCATGTGACAGGTCATGTGACCGCTGCCGGGGGAAGAAGAGGAGGCCGAGCTGTGCATGATGAAGATACAGTCCAGCCTCGAGATGCAAGATTTAGAGTTAAGAATACTGTGAGAAACCCCATTTACACTGGTACAAAATATACACCAATATACAGTGCCTTGCGAAAGTATTCGGCCCCCTTGAACCTTTCAACATTTCGCCACATTTCAGGCTTCAAACATAAAGATATAAAATTTTTATTTTTTGTCATGAATCAACAACAAGTGTGACACAATCGTGAAGTGAAACGAAATTTATTGGATTAAACTTTTTTAACAAATAAAAAACTGAAAAGTGGGGCGTGCAATATTATTCGGCCCCTTTACTTTCAGTGCAGCAAACTCACTCCAAAAGTTCAGTGAGGATCTTTGAATGATCCAATGTTGTCCTAAATGACTGATGATGATAAATAGAATGTACCTGTGTGTAATCAAGTCTCCGTATAAATGCACCTGCTCTTTGATAGTCTCAGGGTTCTGTTTAAAGCACAGAGAGAACCATGAAGACAAAGGAACACACCAGGCAGGTCCGAGATACTGTTGTGGAGAAGTTTAAAGCCGGATTTGGATACAAAAATATTTCCCAAGCTTTAAACATCTCAAGGAGCACTGTGCAAGCAATTATATTGAAATGGAAGGAGTATCAGACCACTGCAAATCTACCAAGACCCGGCCGTCCCTCCAAACTTTCATCTCAAACAAGGAGAAGACTGATCAGAGATGCAGTCAAGAGGCCCATGATCACTCTGGATGAACTGCAGATAACTACAGCTGAGGTGGGAGAGTCTGTCCATAGGACAACAATCCGTCGTGCACTGCACAAATCTGGCCTTTATGGAAGAGTGGCAAGAAGAAAGCCATTTCTCAAAGATGTCCATAAAAAGTCTGGTTTAAAGTTTGCCACAAGCCACCTGGGAGACACACCAAACATGTGGAAGAAGGTGCTCTGGTCAGATGAAACCAAAATGGAACTTTTTGGCCACAATGCAAAACGATATGTTTGGCATAAAAGCAACACAGCTCATCATCCTGAACACACCATCCCCACTGTCAAACATGGTGGTGGCAGCATCATTCTTTGGGCCTGCTTTTCTTCAGCAGGGACAGGGAAGATGGCTAAAATTGATGGGAAGATGGATGGAGCCAAATACAGGACCATTCTGGAAGAAAACCTGTTGGAGTCTGCAAAAGACCTGAGACTGGGACGGAGATTTATCTTCCAACAGGACAATGATCCAAAACATAAAGCCAAATCTACAATGGAATGGTTCACAAATAGACGTATCCAGGTGTTAGAATGGCCAAGTCAAAGTCCAGACCTGAATCCAATCGAGAATCTGTGGAAAGAGTGAAGACTGCTGTTCACAAACGCTCTCCATCCAACCTCACTGAGCTCGAGCTGTTTTGCAAGGAAGAATGGGAAAGAATTCCAGTCTCTCGATGTGCAAAACTGATAGAGACATACCCCAAGCGACTTGCAGCTGTAATTGCAGCAAAAGGTGGAGCTACAAAGTATTAGCGCAAGGGGGCCGAATAATATTGCACGCCCCACTTTTCAGTTTTTTATTTGTTAAAAAGTTTACATTTTCCAATACATTTTGTTCCACTTCACGATTGTGTCCCACTTGTTGTTGATTCTTGACAAAAAAAATACATTTTATATCTTTATATAATGTGAAATGTGGCGAAATGTTGAAAGGTCCAAGGGGGCCGAATACTTTTGCAAGGCACTGTATATAATAATATTCACTAAAAATACTTATATACTCAGGAGTGGACGGACCTTTCCTCCAACTGCGCTTTTCTTGTCATTGTGCGATATCTCTCTGGTCTCCCTCATTCTGCTCTCCCTCACTCTGCTCTCCCTCACTCTGCTCTCCCTCACTCTGCTCTCCCTCACTCTGCTCTCCCTCACTCTGCTCTCCCTCACTCTGGTCCCCCTCACTCTGGTCCCCCTCACTCTGGTCCCCCTCACTCTGGTCCCCCTCACTCTGGCCTCCCTCACTCTGGCCTCCCTCACTCACTCTGGCCTCCCTCACTCTGGCCTCCCTCACTCTGGCCTCCCTCACTCTGGCCTCCCTCACTCTGGCCTCCCTCACTCTGGCCTCCCTCACTCTGGCCTCCCTCACTCTGGCCTCCCTCACTCTGGTCCCCCTCACTCTGGTCCCCCTCACTCTGGTCCCCCTCACTCTGGTCCCCCTCACTCTGGTCCCCCTCACTCTGGTCCCCCTCACTCTGCTCTCCCTCACTCTGCTATCCCTCACTCTGCTATCCCTCACTCTGCTCTCCCTCACTCTGCTCTCCCTCACTCTGGTCCCCCTCACTCTGCTCTCCCTCACTCTGCTCTCCCTCACTCTGGTCCCCCCTCCTCTGGTCTCCCTCACTCTGCTCTCCTGACTCTGCTCTCCCTGACTCTGCTCTCCCTCACTCTGCTCTCCCTCACTCTGCTCCCCCTCACTCTGGTCCCCCTCACTCTGGTCCCCCTCACTCTGGCCTCCCTCACTCTGGCCTCCCTCACTCTGGCCTCCCTCACTCCTGCTCTCCCTCACTCTGCTCTCCCTCACTCTGCTCTCCCTCACTCTGCTCTCCCTCACTCTGGCCTCCCTCACTCTGGTCCCCCTCACTCTGCTCTCCCTCACTCTGCTCTCCCTCACTCTGCTCTCCCTCACTCTGCTCTCCCTCACTCTGCTCTCCCTCACTCTGCTCTCCCTCACTCTGGTCCCCCTCACTCTGGTCCCCCTCACTCTGGTCCCCCTCACTCTGGCCCCCCTCACTCTGGTCTCTTACTCTGGTCCCCCTCACTCTGGTCCCCCTCACTCTGGTCTCTCACTCTGGTCCCCCTCACTCTGGTCCCCCTCACTCTGGTCCCCCTCACTCTGGTCCCCCCTCACTCTGGTCCCCCTCACTCTGGTCCCCCTCACTCTGGCCCCCCTCACTCTGGTCCCCCCTCACTCTGGTCCCCCTCACTCTGCTCTCCCTCACTCTGGTCCCCCTCACTCTGGTCCCCCTCACTCTGGTCCCCCTCTCTCTGGTCCCCCTCACTCTGGTCCCCCTCACTCTGGTCCCCCTCACTCTGGTCCCCCTCACTCTGCTCTCCCTCACTCTGGTCCCCCTCACTCTGGTCCCCCTCACTCTGCTCTCCCTCACTCTGGTCCCCCTCACTCTGGGTTCTCTCTCTTTCTTGCGGTCTTGTGGTCTTTCTTGTTTCGTTGTGGTCTCTGGAGAAGTGTATCCCATGTGTGAGCCAAGGTGAAGGCCCCCTCGTCTCGGTTGATGGTCTATATCCTGCTTCCTGATTTAAATGGCCTCTTGTATCAATCTTTTGTATTGATGTTCTTCTGCTCCTACTCTTTTGGCCCGGTCCATTGTGTGATTCTCTTTTGCAGTGGTCTGATATTGCTGATATGAGGTTTTCTTGTGTTGCTTTTCAGTCTGACGGATCAAACGAACCACATCCAGCAACAACAGCTGATAAGAGACACACACAGTAACACCATCATGTCTCTGACGAAGCACGGACGCCGAACCATGTGGTAATGAAGCAGTGCTAACTTTATTTACTTTTTGTCTCATTAAAAAGAACCCTCTAAGCCTTCAATATAAAAAGACACAATTAACTTTTTACATTTAAATACTTGTTTTGACCTTTTTTTTCTGCCTAAGATGTTGCTGCAGTACAGTGTTCATGGTTTTACACTGGTCCAGACCAGAGCAGAGAGGATTCATAGTTTTACACTGGTCCAGACCAGAGCAGAGAGGATTCATGGTTTTACACTGGTCCAGACCAGAGCAGAGAGGATTCATAGTTTTACACTGGTCCAGACCAGAGCAGAGAGGATTCATGGTTTTACACTGGTCCAGACCAGAGCAGAGAGGATTCATAGTTTTACACTGGTCCAGACCAGAGCAGAGAGGATTCATAGTTTTACACTGGTCCAGACCAGAGCAGAGAGGATTCATGGTTTTACACTGGTCCAGACCAGAGCAGAGAGGATTCATGGTTTTACACTGGTCCAGACCAGAGCAGAGAGGATTCATGGTCTGGACCAAACATATCAGATGAAAATCCACTGGAGGAATGCTAACTTTTTGAGAAATGCTAAAGAAGCAATTAGCATTATACTTTGGACAAGAGCCGAGAAAATGCTCCACCCAGAGGCTACTCCACCTCTGCTGCTGTGACCCGTCCTGCTCCACCCAGAGGCTACTCCACCTCTGCTGCTGTGACCCGTCCTGCTCCACCCAGAGGCTACTCCACCTCTGCTGCTGTGACGCGTCCTGCTCCACCCAGAGACTACTCCACCTGTGCTGCTGTGAACTGAAGGCCTGTTGCTTATTATTTCTATTGCTAGCTTTTTAGAATGATCAATTTAATGATATTATTTTTGCTGGACACTTGAATTTCTCCAATACGGGGCTCAATAAAGTATCAATCTATCTAAAAGAACCTTCTCAGCCTTAAACATAAAAGACAAAATTAACTTGTTACATTGAAACACGTGTTTTTGTCTCCTCTGACGTCACAAAAACAACACAGTTTCTCTCTCTGGTCCAATCCAAACACCGGCGTCCTCCTCAGTCCTCTGACCCCTGGACTTTAAACCCGGCTGGACATTCACAGCTGCTCATGGCTCTCATCAGGAAAACACTGTTACTCTCTCAGACCAGGACTTTATTGATTCACCAGCAACAGATCAGAATTTAATTAATTAAAACACAGGAAATGCAGTAATAACAAACAAATAGAAGCCATTGTCCTTAGACCCGGCTGCATCAGAACCACTCACAAACCCAGAGTGAGAAACCTCTGCGGCGCATTTAAAGTAGCAATATGTAAGATTTTCATGTCAAGTCATCATTAAAGGGCCCTAATCTGTCATCATTAAAGGGCTTTAATCTGTCATCATTAAATGGCCCTAATCTGTCATCATTAAAGGGCTCTAATCTGTCATCATTAAAGGGCCCTAATCTGTCATAATTAAAGGGACCTAATCTGTCATCATTAAAGGGCCCTAATCTGTCATCATTAAAGGGCCCTAATCTGTCATCATTAAATGGCCCTAATCTGTCATCATTAAAGGGCTCTAATCTGTCATCATTAAAGGGCCCTAATCTGTCATAATTAAAGGGACCTAATCTGTCATCATTAAAGGGCCCTAATCTGTCATCATTAAAGGGCCCTAATCTGTCATCATTAAAGGGACCTAATCTGTCATCATTAAAGGGCCCTAATTTGTCATCATTAAAGGGCCCTAATCTGTCATAATTAAAGGGACCTAATCTGTCATCATTAAAGGGCCCTAATCTGTCATCATTAAAGGGCCCTAAACTGTCATGATTAAAGGGCCCTAATCTGTCATCATTAAAGGGCCCTAATCTGTCATCATTAAAGGGCCCTAATCCGTCATCATTAAAGGGCCCTAATCTGTCATAATTAAAGGGCCCTAATCTGTCATAATTAAAGGGACCTAATCTGTCATCATTAAAGGGCCCTAATCTGTCATCATTAAAGGGCCCTAAACTGTCATCATTAAAGGGCCCTAATCTGTCATCATTAAAGGGCCCTAATCTGTCATCATTAAAGGGCCCTAATCCGTCATCATTAAAGGGCCCTAATCTGTCATCATTAAAGGGCCCTAATCTGTCATAATTAAAGGGACCCAATATGTCATCATTAAAGGGCCCTAATCTGTCATCTTTAAAGGGCCCTAATCTGTCATCATTAAAGGGCCCTCATCTGTCATAACGAGAACTAAAAAAGCTCTTGTTATGATTCTCAAATCATTAACGACAAAACAAGGAATAAAACCAGGATTTCTATCTTTGTGAAAAAGGTGTTGGTTATAGATTTGTTGTTGACAAAACTCTTGTCTATTCAGCTGTTATGGTCCCAGCTGGATTCGTCTGCATATCTGGCAACCTGAGTCAGGGAGAGTGGGAGAGGCTGCAGTACCACTTTTGGACAGATGTTTACACACTGCTCCTTTCCAGACACTGTCTGAAAAAGCTGATAAAAAGACGTAACAAATGCTGAAAATGATCTATTATCGTTACTTTGGGGTGGTTTGAAAGTCGGGGACCTCAGCTTTAAGATAAGACAAGACTTTATTTATCTCCAAGCGGAGAAAATTCAGACGATAAAGATGAGAAGGAGCAAGATCAGAGCGAGTGTGTGGTTTGTGTGTCACAGACTGAACTTGTGCGAGACTCAGGACTCACTCATGCGAGATCAGAGAGAGCAATGAACTGCACACTAACACGACCATAGAAGCACTGCTAACACCACGACCATAGAAGCACTGCTAACACCACGACCATAGAAGCACTGCTAACACCACGACCCAGGATTCTGACACAACTAGACCTCCATGAGCAGTCATTTAGACGGTTTTATCCAGCAGTGGATAAAACATGCATTACAGCTACTGCTACTGCTACTACTACTACTACTGCTGCTGCTACTGCTACTACTGCTACTACAGCTGCTACTACTACTGCTACTGCTACTGCTGCTATTGCGACTACAACTGCTGCTACTGTTACTGCTTCTACTATTACTGCTGCTACTGTTACTGCTACTACTACTGTTGTTTCTGATGCTATTTGACAAAAAAACTTCTTGATCAGATATAGATGCTGAGAATTCTTTTTTGAAATATCTATACATTTAAGTATTTTTAAGTGAAAATCTTTCAAACTAACAATAATGTTTGTGAGTATGAGTATGGTGTCTCACTCTCTTGCTGGTCTCACCCTCTCTCTCTGGTCTCACCCTCTCTCACTGGTCTCATCCTCTCTCACTGGTCTCATCCTCTCTCACTGGTCTCATCCTCTCTCGCTAGCCTCTCTCTGGTCTCTCACTTTCTGGTCCCTTCCTCTCTGGTCTCACTCTCTCTGGTCTCACTCTCTTTGGTCTCTCACTCTCTGGTCTCACTCTCTCTGGTCTCACTCTCTCTGGTCTCTCACTCTCTGGTCTCTCACTCTCTGGTCTCTCACTCTCTGGTCTCTCACTCTCTCTGGTCTCTCACTCTCTCTGGTCTCTCACTCTCTGGTCTCACTCTCTCTGGTCTCACTCTCTCTGGTCTCACTCTCTCTAGTCTCACTCTCTCTGGTCTCACTCTCTCTGGTCTCTCCCTTTCTCACTGGTCTCTCCCTCTCTCGCAAGCCTCTCTCTGGTCTCACTCTCTCTGGTCTCACTCTCTCTGGTCTCACTCTCTCTGGTCTCACTCTCTCTGTTCTCTCACTGGTCTCTCCCTCTCTCTTTGGTCTCTCCCTCTCTGTTCTCTCACTGGTCTCTCTCCCGCTTTCTCTGGTCTCTCTCCTCATGCTGGTCTCTCCCTCTCTTGCTGGTCTCTCTCTCTCTTGCTGGTTTCTCTCTCTTGCTGGTTTCTCTCTCTTGCCGGTCTCTTTCTCTTGCTGGTCTCTCCCTCTCTCTTGCTGGTCTCTCCCTCTCTCTTGCTGGTCTCTCTCTCTCTTGCTGGTCTCTCTCTCTCTCTTGCCGGTCTCTCTCTCTTGCCGGTCTCTCTTGCTGGTCTCTCTCTCTCTCTTGCTGGTCTCTCTCTCTCTTGCTGGTCTGTCCCTCTCTCTCTTGCCGGTCTCTCTCTCTACACCATTTGTCCTTAACCTCTTCATAAACAGAAACAGCCTCCAAAGTATCCTGCATCTGTATAAATCTATATTTAGTTAAAGAAACTTGCAATAATCATGTTTTTTGC